AGTTCATCCGGATGAAAAATTGTTGTCTTTTTTAAATTCTTTTGTGCGTTTGTTGTCTTTTATCCAAATAACATAATTTGCATGCAGTCTAATATTTATATTAGAATTATTTTTCCGAACGTTGATATTATGTTGACTCCGTTGAAGGTTTTGACAAGATTTTGTTATATTTTCAGATAATCCTAATAATTTTGCAGCTAATAATTCTCTAAATCTTCTAATTTTGGAGTATCACGAGTCTCATGATGATACGACGATTAGATAATTTATGAACATATCGTGCTCTGACATAATCGAACACGATTACCTGCTGTGACATTGTGAGAATTTATATACAATCCATAACTAATATATAAATATATTTGTTACGACTAGTCGAAGGAACATTCGATATGTTATCCAAATTATAATCCAAATTATCCAAATCAAAATATCCAAAATATACTAAATCAATACTATTATTCAATACTATTGTTAATACAATTATTATTATCAATACTTCTATTGCGGACGCATAACATAGTAATGATGAAAAATGATGCGAGACATTATTCTTGCGACCATTGGCATTACTAAAATATGGATAGAAATATTGGAGTATACTTGATACAATGGCATGCGGTAGTCAACGTGTTAATAGACATGCGCTCCATACATATAATTACTTATACAGACCATTTATCTTTAAAAAATATACCACTTGCTATGACATCTGTCAAAGGATATTCGACAAGCACCCAACTATTAGCTTAGAGTTAGATGAAACGTAATTACGATAGAATAAACAAATGATGATTTTTCATCGATGGAAAATCTGCTAGAATTTTTGTACTATTAATTTTTGTATTAGCTTGACATCAAATTTTAGAGATCGCGAAGATCGAAGTAATCAACACAACAGAGTACTCACATGTTGACCTGAATACGCGAAATCATAAATTAACAATTTCTGGCATTCCTCGCACACTCGTTATAATCTTTGCAGCAAGAAAGAAATACTGTCAGCAATTAACTGATTTAGATATAAAAAAACCGAATTGATTTAAAAATTATTTATATGCGAACTACTTGCGATCCAATCATAATATAAAGTACTGCATTACTTGTAAGCAATATAATGGAAAACATCATACAATGACAAAGAAAACCCAGTACAAGCGAATCTACAGTTGAGTGTAGATTTGAGTACAAAGTACGTACAGGCACGTTGAACGTAAATAGTAAAGGAGAAACATTTGTTTATCTTAATTGTCATTGATAACAAAAGACACCTATGATTCTACTGACGCCAGATTTTATTGAATTCGGGCTTTCAATTATATTTCATATTTCATGAAAAAATTGGTACTACTCCAATGTAAAATCAACATTTTCATCATAAAAATAAATCATTTTACTTTAAAAATAAAAAGAATTCTTCGTGCGATCATATGATTCAGAATTAACTATTTCAATATCGATTTGTCATTTCTCATTTTACTGCGCATTATCAAACATTCTAATTAATCGTTTCGTTTTTAAAATACAACTCAATATCCTAATTTCAACATTCCATTGACAAATTCCAAATTATAATATTTTCTCCAAAATAGATTCGCTCTGATCAGCACGTTTTTCAAGTTGATTTATGCATCGGTCAAATCTCCATCACAAATGATTCAATTAAATTACAAAAAAACGAAGGTAGCTTTGATTATTTGCGGAAAAATTGAACATTGATAGTCAATAAAATCTTCAACTTACCATTTAATACTTAACTCAATTAAAACATAATTGGGAGTTGGAAAAAATTCCACAAACATCCATACTATTGACAAACAAAGGAGCATGCGAGCAAATTACATTGTGCAAACTACGTGATCACACCAATACATCGCCCGACTTTTTCAAGTTTTAGACGATTCGTATCATTCGTATCACGTGCTGCAACATTTTCTCACATTGAAATGCACATTCAAGAAAAATCTGCAATTAAAAAATAGAATATATTCACTTTATGAACGAATATCATGAATTAGGATACATGAAATACGAAACATCTATGTGTTTACTTGTGCCTTTTGAATTTTCCACGGTAAGAAATTGATTCAACAGGATCAATATACGAATGTAATATTTATGGCCATGTTAAACTCACCACCATTAATCATCGAATGAGCAATCCCTCCGTAAATCGCTCCCAATCATATTTACAATCGAGAGTTAATTTTTGCGGTTCGCTTTTCATAAAGAAAAAAATCTATTATAATCAGTGGATAAAAGTCTTAATCAATTTTCATCTATCTTACGATCCGAATGGTGCATATCCGGACTAATTATGGATGCCTTTTTCGCAATATTATGACTGATCATACTGCATCTCGAGATGCAGCAAATGCAACGATATCTATTCAGATAATAAACTTCATAAATGCCAATCATGAATTAAGGAACTGTACAACTTTTTATCTGATCATAAGCACGCTATAGCTGAATTACTCATGGACCAATAAATCGATTGGTATTTTATAATTCAAAATCATCATACTCCGGCGGTATTTTGGAAGTAGCGATAAAATCCGCGAAACATCATTTAACTCGAATAAAATTAACTTCTTTGAGACTAGCTCATCATTACGATATAAGTTGAGGTTATTCTCAATTCTTCTAATTTCTTTCATCGAATTCTAACGTCTATATACTTCTTAATTTCCTAATTA